CAAACTTTCTTTCTCCAGAGCTTACCTCATGGTGAAAAGTAACGTTATCAGCAACAAGAAAGGCAGTTTCCCCACCTTGCTCCACTTTATTAAGATAATACAAGATGGTTATGAATCGACATAGTCTGCAGCCATTAGGACGAGGTACAGCGTGATGACAGCATGGTAAAGCCTTCGTCCGTTCATCAAGGAACGGCATGGAATCATAGTGGACATGATAGTGACCATCATGGCCGTATCGTACAACCTAAGAAACAAAATATCAAACACATATCGTCAAATTAAAGAAAAAAAGGAATACACGTTGTCGGGTCTCATTAACACCAACACCAAAAAGGATTTTTTAAGCGCTCATTCAAGCAATATTTGTCTAAACATGCTACAATATAGCATTAAGAAGGTCATTTACCGTTATTTCTATAATTTCTTTTCTCATGCTGTCTTTCAGTTTTAGCTCTCATGTACGTTGTATCCATTGGGAGCCCGACTTCGTTTTTTTTAATTCGGATTTAATCATATAAGATGTTTTTGTTAAAAAAAAAAACATTCAGAAAAGGTCGAAAATACAGCAAAGGATTAGCTCTGGACATTCTAATGAGTAGGCTTTCCTCTAGTTTTGTCGTGTTTTCCTCGTATTGATTTACCTGCAAGGCTTCTCCACCTTGGATAAGTTTACGTGGTAGTTTTGTGAGTTTGATGACTCTGTAATTAAAAAATAATATCATAAAGTAAATTTTCTGATCGGCTAGGAAAAAATCATTGGCGTTGAATATGTGATAATAAATTCCCAAATGGCCCTAATCATGCTTTTTTTATATTTTCGAATTATTTTATATTTTTTAATAATACAATTGTGTTTAGTTTTCATTAAGTTTTGTTCAATAGAAGCAAAAATAAGAAGTGAAAAGCCAGTTTTTAGCGGAGCTCTATAGCCAAAAAAAATGGTAAACCATCGAGACGTCGATTTTTCATAGACTGAGAATTTCACAAAAGTCCATTCTCATATATATATTTTCTGTAAACGTGACTTCTATTAAACGGTCAACCTCTATTTAGCGGTCACGTGGTTTTTCCCTAAGGTKGCCGCTTAATAGAGGTTCGATTGTACTAATAATCAATCTCTTCTATATTGYTATTAGTTTCCAATTCACTAGGTTTTCTTTGTTATTCATAGGGTTGTGGGAGGAATTTGATATTCAGCAGGGAAATGTGGGGTTGATGAAGTGAATTGAATAGCTCGTTATAAATTCAGCGGGCTATATATGAGTGACCGGAATCACTCATATAGCCCACTGAATTTATAACGAGTTATTCAATTCAATTCATCAACCCCACATTTCCCTGCTGAAYATCAAATAATCTAAGTAATAGTTAGTTACCGAGAACGGAGGCATTACGCTATATACAGCCCGAGGGCCGCAGGCCCGATGGCTGTATATAGCGTAATGCCGACGTGCGAGGTAACTAACAAACTTAGTTTTCAATTCACGTGGTTTTCGCAAAAACTGAATAGACTTAATGAATGTTTTCTTAGTTGGGTTTCGAACAATAGAATCCTCTTCTCTTGAGACTTTTTCATGGACTGTTGAAATTAGTTTCCTTTAAGAAAACCTGTTCATGCGAAAGCGAGCAATCGAAATTTGAATATTGTTATCAAATATTCTTAGCAGTCATTCTGGAAACGATGTCGAACAGTGACGATTTGTTTATAGCTCAAAATACGTTTGACATCATTCCTTTGACGAACTTTGATATTGACGATTTGCTATCGGATTTGGAACTCCGCATGCTTCTTCCCGCAAATAACGATGACAAAGTCTGCAGATGGGAAAAAATGAGAAAAATTACAATAGTTTTTGATGTTGAACTCGCTCGAAAAAATACGAGGGAAGGATTCAAGAAGGAACAAACTAAAGTACCNATTTACTCGATCGTCGGATAAGCTTCTCTGTTTTTCTTGGCGCCTCGTCTTGTATGAATTTGACCATCCAAAAAATCAACGACTCGGCGTTCATGTCATCAAGACCAGCGTCAGCATATCCTGGAATGACTCGCTGTTTTTGAAACTGAAACTGGTGGTCCCATTTATGGCTTTCTTGTTGCACGGTCTTTTTTTCGGGCGCAAAATAAGGTTGCGGACCATTTTGTTGAATACTTTGTGGAACACTCCCCCGAACAATAGCGCTTTCCTTTATGTTGAGTTTTAGGTCTCATAAATCGACTCGACGTGTCTTCGAGGGAGAAATGGAAGACAACTGATTTAATTTTTGCTAACTATGAATGCCTRATATCTTGCAATTCCTTTGACAATTCTAATTTTCTATAGTTTGGCAAGCACATTCTTTAAAAAAACAATAGGAAAATAAACAATTTTCAGGAGAAACTATAAAAAGCTTATAATGTGACAATTCCGCTTTCAATTAATCGTTTAGAAATTCCCTTGATAGTTAAGTCGTTTCATGAAGGCGCCATACAAACAGTTRTATTTGACGCCGGAATATTTAATAACGGCGACATAAGTTGATAATTTTAATCGATGAAATGCAGCAAGATATTCAACTTTTCAAAAACATTAAAATGAGAATTATTATAAAGTTTGATAAGGGCGAGGATCTTTAGCCCCGATACAACACGCTCTCGAGTTCTGTATACATTACATAGAATCCTCTTCTCTTGAGACTTTTTCATGGACTGTTGAAATTAGTTTCCCTTAAGAAAACCTGTTCATGCGAAAGCGAGCAATCGAATTTTGAATATTGTTATCAAATATTCTTAGCAGTCATTCTGGAAACGATGTCGAACAGTGACGATTTGTTTATAGCTCAAAATACGTTTGACATTATTCCTTTGACGAAACTTTGATATTGACGATTTGCTATCGGATTTGGAACTCCGCATGCTTCTTCCCGCAAATAACGTACGATGACAAAGTCTGCAGATGGGAAAAAATGAGAAAAATTACAATAGTTTTTGATGTTGAACTCGCTCGAAAAAATACAAGGGAATGATTCAAGAAGGAACAAACTAAAGTACCAATAAATGGCCGTGTGTACGTGCTTGGATAGAATGGAACAAGTCACACCGATTACTTCTGATTCATACACGTTGGTTAATTCCGAAGAATAGATTCTTTTAAAAGTAACGGCGAAGATCTTGGTTATTGTTGTCTCTATTCTCTGATGAACATATGAAGAAAAGCTGCGGGACTCGAACTTATTACACTCTAAATCTCCTCAAGTTTTGCTGGCCGCACTGGTCTTTTTTAGGGGAAAAATAGTTTAGTTTACTTAGTTTATTTGATGTTCAGCAGGGAAATGTGGGGTTGATGAATTGAATTGAATAACTCGTTATAAATTCAGCGGGCTATATGAGTGATTCNTTGTTTCATGTGCGCGCAATGAAAATTCAATAGCACCAATTGACAAACGGTTTCATTTATTGACAATCGTTCAACCAAAAATGAAACTTCATTAGTGTTATTAGCATAAACATAGGCAATCTATAGCGCATTTGTACAATCATATAGCCATTCGAGAATACATTCTGGCTCCGTTTTATGCAAAAATATCTACCCCGTTGTATTGACAGAGAGTTTATCATTTATCGAAGGCTGAAATTTAAATAGAAATGACAAGTAGTATTGATTTTTTCTTTTGTGTTATTGTATTTTGAATCGCTCAAATGATTGTCAAAACGCACTTCTAAAGAATGTATTCTCGAATGGCTATGAACGCTAGTGAACAGCAAAAGGTGTACTATTGCATCACCTCTCGTGTAGCTGGCGGAGGGCGGGATCGGACTTGGTATTTTGTGGGAGCCATGCTTGCTCACTGAATCGTGCTCTGTATCTAGGATGCTTATTCTTCAGGTAGTCCAAATACACCACCAGCTTGTTGATGTTGAGATGTTCGAACTCATCCCGTGTAATAGTACCTAAAATTTGATAAAAATTAAGAGAGATTCCTTAAAAGCAGTAAACAACCGCAATACAGTTCTTGTTGTTATCGTCCAAGAATTCATTATATTGTCATCAGACGTTTTTTAAACATTTTCAAATCCAGTGATAGGTTGTCGAAAGCACGTAGTAAACAAGAATGCTTGCAGCAAAGTGCAAAATAAACTGCAACGAATGCATTCCTCTTGCTAAGACATTTTCTAGTTATTCTCCATCCTCAATAACGAAATCAAAATCAAGACGAAGGTCACAAAATGTATTCTTACCATCATCATATCCATCAAATTGCAGTTGTTGAAACCTTAAAAAAAAACACAATCATTGAGAAAAATATAATACCAAACCAAACAGCACGAAGCAAATTTAACTCCTCTTACATTTTTACAATGTCGTCATCCATAATGAAAAGTAACTTATGTCTTGCTGAGAAATTTACTATCTGCAAAAAAAGATAAAGTTTGTTGAAGAGTTTTCCAGGTATGATGAATYTCAAAGTGTTGTTCASTAWAACAAACAAACTTGATCATGAATTATATTTTTTTCTGTTTTACCTCTTGTTTTTCGATTTTGCCGTCATAATTTGTGTCCCATGTTGCGAAACTTTCAGCAAATTTCCATTGCTTTGAAACTTCAAGTGAAGCCACTGAATACAGTTAGGAGAACAAAGAAAAACAAAAAATAATCCGTTTAATGAAATTCCACTTTCTGATACTTAACAAATAGCGTTGAGGCCTTTTAAGGACTGTAAGGAAAGGAAGGGGCAGAAGAAGACGAAGAAGAAACTGATAAAGAAGCTGAAGAAGAAGAAGAAGAAGAAGAAGGAGAAGAAGAAGAAGAAGAAGGAGAGGCAGAAGAAGAGGCTGAAGATGAAAAAGAAGAAGCAGGAGAAGAAGAAGAAGAAAACGAAGAAGAAGAAGAAGAAGTAGAAGAAGAAGAAAAAGCAGAAGAAGAAGAAGAAGAAGAAGAAGAAGAGGCAGAAGATGAAGAGGCAGAAGATGAAGAAGAAGACGCAGGAGAAGAAGAGGAAGAGAAAGAAGAAGAAGAAAAGCCATGCTTATCGCTTATAATCGGGTTGCAAGACCAGGTTAGCAAAACTTTGWTCAATTGTTAAAACACAATGAGAACAGCAAAACTGCATATCATTCTTATGTTAAAATAACATTCTGGTAATTGCATGTCATGACGTCATCATGTAAGCAACTTATTACCTTTGTCTAGTTCCAGTTTCAAGTCTCCTTCGTACACACTTTGATTAAAACCAGCAATACTTGTGCGTAGTCCTGCATCTTTGGCTAATTTGATGATATGATCACATTCTTCTTCAGTGAGAAAATTAGGAATTTCTATGGAGAATTGGAATTGGAATTGACATTTGTTTTAACAGTTGAATGCGTAACGAACTCAATCTACACGGGAATACTTTATATTAAAGACTGGAAGTTTAAGAGTTCAAAAAATGGATTTTTCGCCAACAATTCCGAATTGCTTCTAAAAAGATGATATTAAGTGGAGACACCATTCATCATTGAGCATCGAAGTATTTGAGTGACAGTTGGCTGTCAAAGCAGTTTCCGTTTCAAGTTTCTCTTTCCCATGTAGAAAGCCAACATAGTAAAATGGCGACAAATTGCGCTATACAAACAATTCAGCGAAAGTGAAGATTTTCTGTCTAGGAACTTGAAAATAGCTTTGACGTGAGGAGATATATATTAACTTTAGTTTATATAAAGTCTCGATAAAGTCTGTTGCACATAATAAGTATGRCATATTCTTACCAAACATAAGCGGTTTCATTGCCTTTGTTATCAGCTTAAACTTCCTATCTCCACCCAAGTCTACTTCCTGGACATGGTCTTTCTGTACAAATAAAAGCAAAGACATTTAGCGTGGCCAGGTTATCCGTTATGTAATAGCTGCCGCATTGGACAAAACTGAGAAACATTTTCTTGTAATTGAAAAAGACACGATTTTCTGGATATTTCTATAGTCTATTTTGACACAAATTGTTTAACACCGAAACCTAATTGATATAAGTATTTGGTTTATAACCCTTAAGTTTTTTGAAAGAATAGAGTATTCAAGTGATGACGTCACAAAACGAAAATCTTTGAGTTTTTWAATTTGCTCTCCATATTCTGAAAGGGCATCAGTTTTAATGCATCCTTGTTAGATTTCAGTGTCGTAGTGCCATTTATAGCGGAGATACAAGCAGTTTTATGGTCGGGTGACCACATACAAACGCTTGTAAATTTGGTCTTGTTCCTTTCGTTATGAACAAGACCAAATTTACAAGCGTTTGTATGTGGTCWYCCGACCAAAAAATCGCTTGTATCTCCTCTTAAAATGGCACTATAGGACACTGAAATTTGGTCGATAGCTACTTTTTTTCCATGCTCTATAAGGATATTTCAACGATCCGAAAAATTTGAAAAAGTATTTTTGTGACGWCACACTTGAGTACTCTATTCCTATGAGACCTATGAAACTGGTGTTTGGATATAATGACTCGATAATGACAAAAATTCGTTTCAACAAAGGGATATTTATTCCGTTAGTTTTTGTGGCCACGTTTTTGTCATCTTTATGAGAGGCGTGTTGGCCGCTCGCGAAGCTCGAGTACTGGGGTATATTGACATGGAAACCCATCCCCGAACTGCAGGGAAACTTTATGTCCAAACAGCTGGAGACAACATTTCATTATTCAGTGGTGAGAGCTAGCTATGGACGCAACAAAGAGTAACATGCAAACTTCGATGCAAAGGCACGGCTACCTTTCAAGATGGCGCGGGGAACCGTGAAGGAGACTATTGAATAGGCTCAGTCTCCAGCCGTCGGGATTTCGTGCGCCCGCGATACTCTCTCCCCTGACGGCTGGGAGCATGAGGTTCGCTATTGTCAKTCTTGACCAATCAGCGAGTGGCCCCCGATATTTTGAGGGGCATATCATTAATAAATTAGCAGGCAGCAGTGTAACAAAATGGCGTACAATTAGTCGTTTGAGATTCTCTTTGAAAGTGCTTGTTTGAAGGCTCTGAAGTCGCTTAGCTTGGACGAATTTAGAGAAATACAGCAAAAGGCTCTTAAAGAGATTGTTCTTGGAAAAGATGTCCTTGTTATTCTTCCTATACTGGCTCGGGAAAATCTCTTATTTTTCAAACAGCGCCACTAGTGTATTTTGCTCGTTTTTCTAGCAGATGATACATCCATTTGGATCTACTTGGGGTAATTTCCATTCCTTTCTCTTTTTTAAAGCGCTAACTATTACATTATATCGCTACTTCGCGAAGTTTTCATTTCACATAATTTCCCGCCTTGTAGCAAAACCTTTACGGCTGTTGTCAGATATTTCACTTCCGTTCACTGAAAAATTCACTTCCGTTACGTCATAATATGCTAATTACACAAAAACGTCACGGACATGCGCGACACGTTTTGAACTCCCCTGACGGCGCCCAGCCGTCAGGGGAGAGAGTATCGCGGGCGCACGAAATCCCGACGGCTGGAGACTGAGCCTAACTATTGAATTGCTCTAGAAAATATCTATCTCCACAGGAAAGCAAATTCACCTAAGAACAAAAAGCTGCGTCACCTGACTGTAATGACAAATTGGTCGTTATTCTTTAGTACCCTTTTATATCTTGACTAGAGTACATTTAACCATTGCTGSTTCACAAATTGAAATTTGAGACTATTGTTGTTTTCTGCAATCCAGGATAAATATACTGATTTTCAAGACAATTGCTTGATTAATATTTGTTTATAAAGTGAAAAAAACCGCACCGATAAGAACCAAAGAGCCAAGAACCACATCTGCAATAACCACTGTTAATTAACTCGTTAGTTTACATGAGATCTAGTTATTTTTTTTTCGTTTCTTTTTAGGAAAACATGTATGCAAACCCCAAATCAGCAGCTTTCGCTCAACGAGATCTTTTCTCGATTTCTAGAATACAGTTATTTCAAAAAGTACTAAATAATTTCATACAGCATATGTTAGGGCTTACATGATGACCGCTCAATATCGATCTATGGCGTTGWAAGCTTTATAGGTATTAATGCGAAATATATCATGGACAAAGCTTTGTTGCTATTGGACCATCCAAGAGTTTTATATGATATGTATAAGTACATCATGTATTTGGCACTAAAGAAAATATTAATTCTATAAGATAAGTTGCTTTACAATGAAGGGTACAGAGGCGCTKTTATGGTAGCTCTGAAAGACTGTGAGAACACYTTTTATTAAACATTCAATAATGCATTTCGGTATTGGAATTCAGCATCATCAGTACCCTAAGCTTCCTGTAGTATGAAATTGGACTTCCGCATTCTTTACACGCGGCCATCTGGGAYCTCTGGGTAAAAGCTATATAGCAAAGTTGGCTAAAAGATCGTCAAAACATCTGAAATATTATCATGGGTTCAATTTACGCAGCACGGGTGGCACCGCAGGTTTATAAAACACTCGCAACTAAAACAAAATCAGACATGATTTGCCTTTAGCAAGTGCTTAATACAATAAATGAGAACTGCATGTATGGGCATTTCAGTTTGATCAACATGGCTATTTTCGCTATTCGTTTTTAAAACAATATGCATRTTAAAATTATATTGTTCGTTTGAAAACAAAAACCATTGGAAATTGACAAAGAAATATAAAGGACATACCACCCAAAATATCGCATTTGATTTGAATTCATGGAATTAATTATAATAAGTTCAAAGCGCATTCTAAAGTGCTTGCCAARTCAGGCCACCAGAGAACAATAGTATTGGATAGGGTTTCATTTATATCTTTTATATTTCACATGGCTATTTCTCTATAACTAAAAAACAATTTTAGAATAATAACTGAAAATAACAAAAGATTAAATCAGAGGTTTGCCAGATACAGCCACTAAAGGATTTGCGGGATACCACAATTTGAGAATTTCGCTAGTATATCAATTATATCTTTCTTTAATTATCTCGCATAGCACTATAGAATTCTGATAAAATCAGAAAATTACTTAATAACATCGAGAAATGAAATCAAAAATTCTTCCAGTAGTGAAACTGCGGTAAGGGTTAACAATATTGTCATAGCAAGTTTGAAATACACTAGAGAATTAAGAGCCATATCTCTTTCATCTAGCAAACTACTTCTTGAAGAATCGATGAAGAAAAAAAACAATTCAAAAATACATTTATGGAAGATTGTGCGTAAACAATCGCCTTTTCGTTACATTATGTTTTTTTATAAAATATCTTACACGTTTATTATTTTTTTATCTTATTTATGATTAACTATGGTTTTTCTTAAAAAGATCCATGAGTTTTCAATTGAAAATAAAAAGTATTTATGAGATGGAATTTAGCAAATTTGTGCAGTAGATTATGAGGGAAATGAATATATTATATTTACGTCTTACAGCTAAAGTCTTCAATAGAAGAATTTCATAATATTTTGAAAATAAGAAACCTGCCAGGTTGAGTTTTGACTACCAGAGATCGACAAATCCTCCCGCTACCCGCGGTTACACCGACTCAACACTCTTTTGCTAAACATTATACAATTTGACTTACCTGAACTCCATCTAATCGAACAAGTTTCGGTTTCTTGCTATTTCTTATTAATTCATCGACTGTGCAGTCATTTTCTGGATCGGAACAGAAATTCAATTCCCTTTCCTTATCTTCTTCAAAGCAAGGTTTATAGAAACGAGTTGTTAGTTGAGCTTGCGAAAGATCAAAAGTCCAGTTCAATAAAARGAGAACAGCGATCAGTATTCTATGTGTAGCCATGATTAGTTAGCGTTTAAAGACACATTATTTTGATCGATCTTTGCTATTTCCATGTTTATGCATAATTCATAAGCCTTAGAAAGGTCTTAAAGTAAGAACTGATTTGTCGAGTGGAGCAGAAGCTTGTGGTGCATTCACGTTCTTTGCTGGTTACCAAGCAACATTTTTTGACTTTTAGAACATCCATTATTTGACAAAGGTGATGAAACATGGAATTCTCTGTGTTTATTTGCCATAAAATTTGCCGACACAATTTATAGTAAACAGTCCTTGGAAGATTAACCTAGAAGAGACTGCCTCAATCACTACATTAGCTTTATTGACAAACTGGTACTTGTTCCTTATTGACGCGTGCTTTGAATATCGCTGTATCGTCGTTAAAAGCGTCCAAATATATAGCTAAGCATAGAAATTGAATTGGATTCCACATAAAACGCATTAACAAAATGGCAAATGTATCATTTAAATAGATGAGATTAAGAATCTGTTCTTTTTTTGTTGTTTTGAGGCAGGAAATTACTAAATCGTGCACTGAGTCATGCAAGATCTTTTTGTTACCAGCAATTTGCACGATTTATAAGCACTCACTGTACAACGTAGTAATGGATTTAAATTGGACGTCCCTGCTTTATAGGGAGGTTTACTATAATTCTATATCGTGAATAGTGCCTGAGATAACTAAGATTTATCGGTCATTTGGCACACTTATCTATTTAGCACAATATACTGAATAAAATGAGAACAACCTTCTTCAACATCTTTCAGTTTTATTTATGAAAGTCTTCTTTCGTAAACGTGTTTATTATTTAAATGCCTATACTTATTTATGGTCGTTTCATAAGCATAATCAGAGTCAGAAGCATGGTCCAAATAACAGGCAAAATTGCTGACTCCCAAAGTTCCATAAGGCAACTAAAGACAAAAGAATAAACAAGGCAAAATACCTTCCTTTTGTCTTTTTTATACCCTTTATTTCTTAAATCTATTGCTTTTTGAGAAAATGCTGTTGACGAATMAAAAATTTGGCAAAATTTGGCAGCAAAAACTGACGTGTTTAGAGTAGGGTAAACCGTCATTTCTGTTCTTACAGAAAAAATCAAATCTAAAACTTAAGAGAATTAAAGATATTTGTTTAATAGTATGTTTAAGCGATAAGACTATCGTTAAAATTATTGAAAAGCAAAGCATCACTGAAATCACAAAGATGTTTGTCAAAACATACTGAGTTGTTGAGAGCGATAGAGCGTCACTGGGAGACTTTTCACGGTGTCAGAACTACTAGTGCAACATAATTCCACGTATTTTAGAACAGTTATTAACTCTGTGTTAAAAGTMTTTTACCTTACATAAAACCGCATCACAAAAATGCAAGGGCTCACGGCTAGCAACTTTGTTGAATTAATATGCAGGCCTGGTCACAAATAATTMACCTAGCTTTATGTCTCAGTGTGAACCGCCTTCAAGTTTAATATTGATGACGAATAATGTTCGACCTGAGACACCTATGTCAAAAGGTAGCATATYACACGTGCGATTTACAATTACTTTTAACAATTAAGGAGCTCCAAACAACAATCGCCCCTGATCTKAAAGACCATTTTTAACTCTGAGATTGCGTAAGCAATCGAAGGGTTATTGGAGTGGGACGATGTGTCACTCACTCACTTTCCTGTTAACTTTTGAAGATAGCCGCTAAAAAAAAWCGTAGGCTCTCAAAATCCGCTGAGAAAAATCGCAGGCTCTCAAAATGGCGGACCAAGAAATTTAACGTCTATAATATAAACATATCTAAAGCTGGTCTAAGAGACAATTTTCGTGGAAATTTACTTGACTTACTTGGAGTACATCGTACTTTGTCATTTTGAAGAAAATTTGGATGGATAGCGAAACGAGTTCTGTACCCGAATTTGCCGGCGAAGACTGACTGCGATCGTAGGTTTGTTGATGATACTACAGCAATACAATGTTTTAGCTGATCATGATAAGCTCTGTGGTACACTTTTCAATTTCATATTCTGTTAATTTTTTTTTTTCGAAATCACCCTACAATCTCCGAGTTGTGTTGCCATAGGCAGCTTGATCATTATTAACGCCATTAGAGCGATCCAAAGTGCAAGTTGAAACAAACGGTTATCAATTCGGCCATTTAGAAATGGGAAATATATTTTACTTCATTTTTTTWAATTTTATAAGGGATGTACTTGAATAGCAGAAACAACGATTGAAATAGAATAGACTTACTGCAAAGTTTTCATCTATGGCAAACCAAGCATAATGGCGTACCATAAAAACTGTTAAAACCATTATATCCATTATATATTAACCATTATATATTTTAAGATTTTCTGACATTTTATTACTATTTATATATTTTATCCATGTTTTAGTATCATTTGTAAATATCACGCAATTCAGTCTTTTGACTGCAATGTTGATTTATTAATAAAACTATCTAACTATCTATCTATCTCAAACATTGAATTTGAGGAGTGGCAATGACAACTCCAACTCCAACTCCATGCGCACGCATCCTTAAATAGGGCTATAAAAGATTCGTGCCAGTCGTATACATAATAAATCTTGAATTAAAACAATGGCCGCTTTCGTCTTTTTCAAGCAATTCCGCTTCGAGAAATGACGCCATCCGCAGAGTATCTTACGAATTCGGGCTTCCACTGGATGCCAAGAGTGCGGGATCTGGGTACGAGTTTGAAGCAAAATAGAGACTGGATTTCCTCATTCTATCTCTTCTTTTATGCAACAGAGAAACCAATACCAAGCTCAATCATCACCATAAATACTTTTAATATGAGCTGTGACGCTTGTTGGAGCAGAAATCCAATTGTTTGCAATCCATTTTGAGCCCTTCTTGATAACACAACCACCGTGAAGAGAATGTTGATCCAGATTACCAAGGTATCCAGTTTGGGGATCAATATGATRATTATACCACATGACTGCTGTTCCCTTCTTAGGGGAGAGGATTAGAGAAGCGTTTTTGCAGTGCTCACTTAGATTTAGTTCATCAAAGGGTTTACTTGTATTGGATTTTTGTGTTCTCTGGAAAGCAGAATGAATTGTTTCTTCAATTGGCCATGTTCTAAAAGGCAGGGGACTGGCACTGACATTTGTAACTATTACATTTCCTTTCCCAAAGAAAAAATAAATAAAAACTGAAATGTCAAACAAATAAATATAAAATGCTGAATAAGAATCAACTGGCAACCCTTTAAAAATTGMGATAATTATTTCAGAAAGATAATGGGTTTCAGTATTTAATACTCTGATAAGATACTTTGCTGTAGTATCCAGTCCTTTGCTCTTTTATAACATGGTTAATAGACTTTCATGCCAATAATTTTTTTTAGAAAGAAAACTAGTCATTTGATATCAATAACATCTGAGCAATTTTAAGACTGCAATATTAGAATCATAAACATATCGGACAAACATGAGGATGGTGTGAGTGAGCACGCTCTGGACAGCATAGTAAATAGACAAGGACAGCGACAACTTTTTTAAGAAAAAAAAATTTTGGCAATGTAGTCTTTTTATATTTGTTTTGTCTATTATGGAAAGTAATTGTGCTTAATTCATACACAGCAAAACTGCTTCATTTTTTCAAAGTATACACCTAAACCGACTCTCCAAAATATTCAGAACATGGCGTCGCTGATCATTACGTATAAGTATACTGCGTTCTATTGTCATATTGATTGACATGGTGAAAAAGTCGTAGAATAAATAGCAATGGCAAAGTCACCGAAGTACCAATATTTTTCTACTTACATGATCAAGATGCTGGTCAGCTATAGGAAATGCTGTCTCTCCTCCTTCATCCACGTCATTCAGGTAATATAGAATAGTAATAAACCTGTGAAAAATTATGAAAATTGAARAAAAAGTAGAAGAACAAGAGGAAAATGAGAGGAGTAGGAAGACGAGAAAGAAGAAACGACAGCAATAATGTAACAAAGCAACTGCTACAAAAGGAAGTTGATATTAACTCCAATCTTCCTTTAAACTTGTGACAAACCTGCATAGCGTACATTCCTCCCTTTTCAACACATTTTGGTGACAACAGTACAAGGTGTCAGCGGTTGGGTTTGAATCAAAGTGACCATGGTAATGTCCATTCTCCTTGTATTGAACTACCTGAAATTAAGCAATCAATAACACTCACTCACTCATATCCACCAATTAAMAAAACCTATGACAACTGCTACAAATGTACAGTCTATAGTTTGCCGGAATGTCCAAGCAAGCACTAGACATAACATACCTGGATTGCTTCACTTGAAATTATGAATTTAGATGGCAACTTGGTCAGTCTAGTTATTCTGGAAAAAAGATCAGATGGGAGTTTTAAAATGCAGACACGCATTATTGGGAACAAACGAAAATGCCACACAAACCAAACTTTGCAGAAGAACTACCACCGACCGCCATCAAACTAATCATAGTTACAGAGTAAGATCGTCCTGTTATTATGAACTTAAATCAATAAGATAAAACTTGTTCAACACTTGGAACTACCTGTCTATTAGCTGGCGCAAAACTGGATCACTTCTGTTACGGTAAAGCCATGTCTGCTCACTCAGCCGATGTCGATGTAATGGATGTTTGTCTTTGAGGAAATGCAAATATGCTAGGATCTTCTTCACGCCATAAATTTCGAACTCTTCCACTTTTATAATACCTGGAAAAACCCGAGAGATTTTCATAATTTACAGCGAGCGTCAAACGACATATTTCCCGCGCCTATTTTAAAAATTTCAAAAAAAAAGCAATCGAAAGAAAAAAATGATGCGCACTACAAAAGAATGTTCGAATTTATATAGATACTCAAAACTGAATGGAGTGTTAATAGACAAAAATAGTGATCACGTGATTAGCGTGACCTTTTGCGTAAGTAGGTGTATTGACACTTTTGCAGTTTCGAAAAARACTATTCAGACAACTCAGCATTACTCTTTGGTCGAAGGCTAAGCGTGCATATCGGGTATTTAGATTATGTGAATAGGATACTATATAAAGAAAAAGAAAAACTACTGTACAGTTATGGTATACTAACCTTCTTCATATCYACTGAATCCTATTCTTTTGAGCCTAAACAAAATCGAGAAATTATAGTATCAATAACATTAACAATTGTTAAAAGTTAATTATAATCTTATAACAATTAATTTAAATCCAACTTACATATCTTGGACATCTTCCTTTTTTAGATATAGCTTGTCGTATTCAAAAGCAAATTGCTCGATCTGAATTTCAAACACGATAACGCGCTGATAAATTGTAATGCGATAAGTAYAGGTAATAGCATGTTTTGTAGTGGTAGAGGCAATTTCGTATGACTGGGAAACCGATGCTGACGTAATACGACTACGACGATACGGATTCATTCGATCCTATCTTGAGTTAATCGCAAGAAATAGTGATAATCACAACGAAAAAAGGCTAATTTTGCCAACAAAATATTTAAGTGGTATTGTCAAGCAAGCACTAAAAAAAACAYTTCAAGTTATGCTTGAAAATTACCGACTGAACAAGTCACGCGGGAGTGCTTGAATACCCGAAAGTTTCACAAACTAAAAACTTTCACACAATGAATTGCAAATATTATCACTGTTAAAACGTGCTCATATAAATACAAATAAAAGCTAATTGGACTAATTTTATCAAGCTGACATGAAGATACCAAGACTAAGCTCACCTGATTTTCTCAACCGATCGGCCTAAGTGAGGTCTCGAAATACCGAAAAAAATAGAGGAATATTGATATAATCTTCAAATCTCAACATCTTCCAGTCATGTTATAAAATTTCTAATTATAAAAAAACTGATTCCCATTGAGATTTATCCTTAAAAGGCTTTTCTGATCGAATTTTGTCGGTCGAAAATTTCGCAAAAACAGGTGGCGAGAATTCAGCAACTAGTGTTTTGTGACAAGATGACGTAGCCCAGTTGTCAGTAGAAAGTCTCTCAGACAATCAGGAATCACGCTTACGATACGGCTAAAGTACGGTATGACCACGCGCGAGCACCGTAATTACCCAATCAACGATCGAACTTACGATACAGCTTACGGTACCGAAACGCGCGATACGACAAGTGTCGTATCAACAATCGAAATTACGGTCCAGCAAACTACGGTACATACAAATCAATCCAATCAGRTGTKAGCAGAAAMAATGCCAACAAATCAGAATCCATGAATACGATATAGTTACGGTACWGTTACRGTACGGACGCGATTCGTCATCACCGTTTCCCAGTCATACGAAATCGCCTCTATTTGGGATAAATATCACGCGTGATATTTCAAAATTGTCGAACAAAATCTCACAAGCGAAGCGAGTGGAATTTGTGACAAATTTTGAAATACCACAAGTGGTATTTATCCCAAATTCCATGTACAAAACATGCTATTATTTGTTTAAATAATGGTTGAATAAAATTGTGCAATTTGAAATACCATTAGGATAAACACCACTCCTCTAAGCAAATCAAATTGCACAATTTTATTCAACCATACTCTAAAAACAAAAAGCAAAAAAAAACATACAGGTGAAAACAACAACAGCGCGAAACACAAACAACAACACACAACAGCAGCAGCAGCAGCAGCAACAAAAATAGCAAAACTCGAACACCCTCAGCGATAAAGATATTAACGAAACCAATGCAAGAGAGTAATTCTTGTTATAACTCTCTATGTTATCGTTTTCTACCTCTGTAAAATCAATCTGTGAATCTCCATTTTTATCCCATGTATCAAATCGTTCAGCGAGTAACTCGTCAGGACCCTCTGCTGGCTTAGTGTCATCTAGCAAGAAAAGAACGGTGAATTTATCACAACATAGCATGCGCATGTAMGTCTTTTCTCAAAACCCACATTACATATGGCTTKCCAATGACAAGCGATCTGCCAATAATTAAGTTAATCGTCCGGTAACCAGAATACAAGTCTCTCACGTCACATGCGGACTACTATGACAATATAACTAGTCTTTCAAACTGACTTCCATTTGACTCCAAGAACTGGTAATGCCATGAACAAAACTGCTGCCTTTGACAAGTCTTAGAAGGAACCGGGATTAAAAGAATCTTGTAATGGATCTAACTCAGGAGCCCATTACTAAGAGCGTCCATGATGAGTATTCGGTTTGGTCACAGCGTTAAATTCATAGTGTCTATTATTCGATTTTTCTCGACTGATAAGCAGTCACTTCCGGTGTTACGAGCGCGCGAAAATCCACGGGAAACAAAAATAAAACAATAAAGGAAGATGGCGAATGATGAGACGACTAAAAAAATTGAAAGACGCCGTGACACTCCTGTATAAGGAMATGCACGCTCTTAGTAATGGGCTCCTGGTCTAAATCAATAATTCAAAAGTATATCAAAGATAATAAGACTGCCCAGAATATAGAATTTCGTTATGTGTGTGTGTGAAGTATCCGTCATTTCCTCTTCTTACCGATAGCATTAATCTCCATATCAAGTTCACCATCATAYGTATCTTTGATAAAGCCCGCGACGCTCTGCTCCAGTCCACTCTGCTTGGCTAGTGAGATGATGTAATCACATTCCTCGTTACTTAAGAAATTTGGAATTTCTGTAAAGCAAGAACATATGCGTCAGGATCAAGTATACCAAGTAACTGTATAAGGAGCATAGTCTTTAGAAAACAAGCTGAAATGTATGACATAGGAAAATTATTTGTTTCTACTTTAGTATTATAAATTGTATATAGTTACGTGTATACTAATAGTGGTCGGTCTTCCAGTTTTCATTAGAGTGCTCGATACTGTGTAGAACAGTAGAGCAATATAGTTACGTATATATATATA